ATGATTGACTTGTTTTTCCTCGCAGGCAGATCGAGGTGCGCTTTCGGAGCCTGTCTATAGTTCGGGTGTGGAAGCAAGCAATGTGCTAGGAAGTCAAAGTCAATTGGGCCGCAACCGCATTCAAATTCCACAGACGTCAATTGGAATGGGGCAATTGCGCGTCGAACAGATAGGGATTAGGAAAATGTAGATAGGGAAATAATAATACCGAATTGTTTAATTCGGGATATATGCAAATTGGTATGTACAGCCGGAACTACCGCCGGAATGCGTCGAGGAAAAGAAAGGAAGAAGGTGATGTAATTAGAAAGATTATATAAGAGGCCGGGACTTGAATGAGAGCTCTGGGAGCTCTTACCAACATGCACCTGCGTAGAGGAGGGGAGAGGGTCTATAGAATGAGAAACGCAATGGGAATCACCCACGCCAGGAAGACCAGAGAAGCTTGATAAATAGGGGAGAGCCAGGAGGGGCTGCTGATGGAGGTCGTTGCATCATGGTTAAAAGCCGCGAGTCTGCGCTGATTAACTCCGTGTGGGCCACCTTTCACAGGGAAAAAAATTCTGGTGGATTTGTCAGAATCTTCTAGCCGTGGAGAAGAACAGGGTCTGCTTCAGCGAGGCTGCAATCAGAGGATGAAACGAGGTGGGCTGGGTGGAGGAAGACGCCAACCGAACTGTGGATCGAAGGGTGGCTGCTGGCGGCGGCGGCGATGGATGGCAGCGCGGATAACGCAGCTGCAAAAAAAAAAAAAGGAGCAAGGGAAGGGAAGGAAGGTAAATTCCAGAGTCGAAATGAGTCAGGATGAGCGCGGTGGATGCCATCAGGAGGGAAAGAGATTGGTTGAAGGACGAGGTATCTGATTCAAGATCGGCTGGACCCGAAGAAGCATGAGAAAGCTCGACCGGAGATAAGCTGCAAAAAGTCCTCGGGCTTTAGTCATCCGTGCTTCTGATTGGTCTGGTCGGGTCATCCGTGCCTGGTCGCTGGGGCACTCAGAATTTCACCAGTCAGCGCATTTCACCGGAATTCATATTCCTCCCAAGGATTATTAATGGGCTCCAGCACGCTGCTTACGAGTTACGACAGACAACTCAGATCGGGGTCTGATTTCGGTTAGCCAATTTCCATTCTTCCATCCATTCATTCCATTCATAGTGCCCGCGATAAGGGTGATTGCCCGTCTTGGTGGCTGCAAACAGTCAGTCTTCTGCCTATCAACTGGACTACCTTCTACAGTTATCACAACATTCTCCTTGCTATCTCTCTGTTCCCGCTTTCCATCAATTTCAGTATCTCAGTCACTCTTGACATTGCGATTGGGAGCGGAGGACAACCCATTCCTCGGAGCCGAATACTCGTAGTACTGGATAGGAATAGATAGGTCTTCTGCAGGCTGCCAGTTGCCCGGATGTCAGCCAGGAATCTGCCGAGCCGCTAAGTCGACATGGTGAGCAAAATGTCCCAGCGCACGGATCAGGGCCAAGAACTTCGAGACCACTATGAGCACGTAGTAAACTTAGAGTATAGCGAGTTTCATTATCACGTTCTTCACTCACCTTTCGATGGACTTCCATACTTCCATATCACCATCTCCCTGTCCAATTCCGACGACCCCCAACGAATGAGGCAATGACGACTCTCTTTCCTCTTTCTCTCCCCTCTGCCCCGGTCTAGTGCTTGCCGGGCATTCCGGCTGATCTTCTCTGGGCTCCACACAGACCTGCTCGTTAAAGGTCAAGATTGGTCGGGCAATGCCTGTGGTTGCGTTAGTAATGCAGCTTGGTCGGCATGCGGATCACTGGCCGGTTCCCGAGTCAGTCAGCATCATAACCCCGATAATCTTCAGAACCGAATCCCCGTTTTGTTTTCTTTAGCGGGCTGCTATGGATCTGTATGCCGATGATCAGTCATATTCACAGAGAGCCAGCACACTCTGCCTCGTTTGTGTGCACGCCCACACCGCTCAAACATAGGCAAGAGTGAATTGAGCCCGCGGCAACAACGGTCTGCAGTGGATGGATGGAAGACGACCAGCTGACAACTAACTTACATGACGAACGGCACCATTGAATGCACAACCTTCGCAACCTGCATGCATCTTGCTTGACCGCACTGCTTTGGTAGGTATATGGCATGTGAACGGCGGATGAAACAATTCCTCTGACCGACAGAAGTACATGCCGACTACTCATGTATACCGTATCACTCTCCAATCCCACCTTCGGCTGCAACACGCCGCGGCCGCGAGAAGCACCAGTAGGAAGCGATTGTGAAGCCGTTGAGAAGATAAAGATAGTCAAGCACCAGTTTTATTCTGTGACCAGATAAGCACGACGATCCAACAGCTGGCCATCCAGCCATACCAGGCAGCTGTGCAAGCATCCGGCCTGAACTCACCAAAATGTAGAGGAGGTGTGTCTACACCCTCAGGACAACAGCATGGCTCGTCAGACTCTATCCTCTTTGAACTCGGCGAGTTGTCATGTCGTAATTTGTAGCCATCAGCACAGCTTCATGAGACTCCTCTTGCCAGAATGTCTGCTTCTGTCACTCTTTATTGCCAGGCATAACAGCATCACGGTTAGTGCTTGCCAAGGTGAGCCAACAGCTGATACGACAGCCCACGTGTGAATGTGGAACCAGTGGATTCGGCACTTTGTGCGGTATAACATGGTCGTTATAGTCCGGTCTTTCCGACAACTATACGTACACCGTAGACTATCAGTATTTATGGCATTTTAGTTTCAGAATTCAGGGTTCACTTGTGCGAGATTATCGACAATTGTTTCTGTCCTAAGATTCAAGAGATCTTGAGTTCATGTCGAGCGTATGACGGTAGAAAGATGTGGCCTAAGTGTACTACTGGGTAGTAAATCAGCCGAGACGGCGGTAGCTAAGCATTGTTTGAGTAACTCCTTAGGCCGATCCAACCAAGGAATTCCAACCGTGACGGGATCAGCCTCATCCACCCAAATCACCCACCCGTGTACCATCAACCAACCGGTAAGGGATTCTCGTCGGTCGCAAGACTTAGACGTGGTCAGGAACAGCAGCTGACATGCTCTGGTTCCTGTAAGCACTCGACTTAAGCGTCGACTGATTCCGCCCATCTTGGCAGCCGACGCCTGCTGTTCGTTATCGCATCGCCTCATCTGACTTGCTTCCCTCCCCTCACCTGATAAAGCCTCGTCCATCGGTCGCCAACGCTGTCGTCATTGATCACTCTCACTCCTTGTCTATAATCATGACTTCCACAATTAGTCCACAATTAGTTCTACCCCAGATTCCCATCTACCAGATCTGAACCCCAGTTTCCCGGGGTCTCTCGATCTACCTTTGCCCATGGAGATCCGATACAGGCAACCTCGCGATGGGAATCCAGGTTGATGGTAACAGCGCAAAAGCAGTGTCCTCTATGATGAAATCTCCCACAGTGGCCATGGTGACTATCGATCGTTCTCCAGCGTCATTGCAACAGCCCGTTGGAGCAGCACCGCCGTCCTCTCGCCCTCTGGTCCCTCAGCCCCCTGAAAAGACGAAGACACCTTCTGACTCAGCGCTACCCGATCCCAACCTCGTCAATCCTCGTCTTCTCATCAACGGAGCGTGCATCTACGAGCGTCATCTCCCTGGGGACGCATACATCACCGCGCGAGTGCAGCGCCTCCAGCACGGGTACTACTCCAGCCCCGCCGTCTCCAACCAAGACGCCGACCATGTGGATTTTCTCGGCGTGACCTTTGTCTTCCACTCGCCCAACACCTTGTCGCATCGCTTCAAGGCTGCGACAATCCGTGCATCCGTCCACGGGAGTCGGGACCCCCCATCCTCCGAGGCAGCGGCTCGAGCCCGGAATAATCCTCGATTCTTGATGCACGCGCCGCACCTCCTCTACGGCGCGGTGTCTCCGGAGACCATGCAGTGGAACTACAGCCTCAGCGGGTCACTGGGGGTTGCCGACCTGCCCCTGATTGCCAGTCTGTCGCCGAGCGGGGGCATCAACGGCCGGTACAAGCGGTACGAGATGATGCGCATCCAGGGGTCCGTCCGTTCGCGGAGGAGCCCCCGGGGTCGCGAGTACGACGTCGAAGCCGGCGAGATCGTCTGGTCCCTGGAGGAGAATACGCTGCAGCGATCGGGTCTTCCGCGGGAGTTCACCTTCGCTATGCTGATCCAGAAACCGCGCGCGGAGAGCCGGGTGCACTTCACGCTGGAGATCGAGCCGGTGCTGCAGAGCTGGGTTTGCAGTTATCCAGGGTTATTGTTGGGGTTGCCTCGCTACAAGCCCGTGCGACGACGGCCGGTGGACTTTCGAGTGCAGGTAGGCCAGCGGTTCGAGCCGGTCACTCCGATACGGGGATTCAATTTTGCGGCTCTGGAGAGCTCGTTCGATGACTATGTCCATATGCCGGGACGGAAGTTCTCTACTGGGGTAGGTTTATCACCTTGGGTGAGGCTGAGTGTCAAATTCGGTGGCTAAGCGGGTTAGATCTCCCCGGACGGTGGGCTATTCCAAGACGACAATGAGATCCGACGAGACGTGACGCGCGATTTGACGATGATCGATCCGCTCGGGGGCGTGGCCAAGATCCCCGCTCCAGCCAATGCTGCCTGGGAGCTAGCGAGAAGGACGGCACTGGACCAGGCTGCTGTGCCTTCGATGGCAGGCTTTGACCCGGGCTCATTCACGATGCGGCTGTTGTTAGACAACGACCAGAGCACGAAGCATACACAGGTGGCGTCCGAACTGACCACAATTCGGGAGACGAAAATGGAGGAGCGTAAGAGCATGCGACAAACTCGTCGGAGCAGTCGAGGTCAGAGCGACTGTAGTCAAGGCCAGAGTGGCTAGTTGAAGTTTGCATTTAGACGTCTTGTTCGTCCCAGTATTTCCCAGCATGATATACCCGAACTACTGTTTTAGAATTCTAGTCTTTCTTGAACAAGAATACAACCCCCGAGCCTCTTCTTATATTTTGGCCTTCAACCCACCCTCCGTCCTTCGACGCCTTCCGAACCTCGTCTATCGCAGCCGTCACACAATCCGCATCAGTCCCAGCAAGGTCAGGATTCGCCTGTCGCCATCGCTTCACCATACTCGCCGACCCAAGACCCCTTCCCAACTCCTCCAAATTCTGCAACTGCCGCACCAGAAAATCCCCTCCATCCTTTACCGCACCCCCGCGATTCCACTCCATGCGCGTGAATCGGCTTTTCGCGAACCCTTCCACCGGCGGACTCACCGTCCACGGTAGAGGAAGAGTATCATACAAGGACGTCGAAAGCCGATTCGAGGGGAGTTCAACCGGCGCGAGCACCACATCTTCAAGGTGAGAGAGCGCCTTCTCAACGGCTCTCGCATTGGGCGTAGTAGGATCTGGCGCCTTGATCGGCTCAAACGCGTCCAAATCGCCCCCCCATCTCCCCCGGAGGAACGTACGAGAATAAAGCGACGCACAAGTCCAAATCGCCACCATCCCTCCTATCTTGACTGTGAGTTGCATCTGCTCCCAAAATTCCCGCATGGAGAACCACTGCGCCTTATACCAGAGTCAGCGGGCTGCCAGCCTCGAGCCCCTTGCACAAGTACGGTAACGGAGGTAACCACGAACCGACATCGCGCAAATCACTAAATCCACAGGCGCATCATCACCATCATCCTTAGTGGCAGCCGCAGCAGCAGCAGCAGCATCCTGGGGGAGAACTCCCAGACCCCCCTTCTTTTCACCTTCCCAAATACAGCATCACGCAGCGGCAGATTCCCCCTTCGGGAGAATCTGCCTCAAGGTACATGTTCTGAACACGGACATGGGATAGGGCTTTGCCCTCGTCAACGACGGCGTCGTGCTCTACGACGGAAGATTGGGTTCTGGGTGTGGATTCCGGGTCCTGGTTGGGGCGTCGTTCGTGGGATGTGTGGTTCATGGGATTGGAAAGACAGGGGCAGCTTTAGCATTAGTGATGATAGATCGATCGCATATGACATGGAGTGGATCCGGGACTGTCATGCCATATCTCTAAGAGAGTGAGTCACTCTTAGATATGAGTGCTAAGCATAAAGGTAGATGGTAGTGCTGACATTGACGTGATCAAGATATTATAAGGGCCTGAGATAGCTGGAGGGGAGTCCCTATACTGCAAGTCAAAGCACTATATACCGTGGAAAGGCCGGTGATGCATGACTGAAGGCACATTGCAATAGCAAAAGCAATAGTCATCTAGTGACAACAAAACAATCCTCTATACGAATCAAGCACCCTCGTCTAGCCATCCCGGAACTAGGTACCATGGCGATAATACCGCTTTCACAAATCACCACAAGTTGACGGGTCAAAGCGTCCTCCCGAAGACAGTCTACACAGTATGCTCTCGAGAGCTCCCCCATTACCAGAACGAACAAGATCCTGGTATAACCCAAGACCCACAATACAGACCCTCCTCTTATCATCAATCCCCGCTCAGCGATAGCTACTCAACAAGGTAGTTAGCCAACACCCGCTGCGGTGAATAAGCACCCTCTGAATAATCCAAGTAATCCCACGCTCGGTGACTGGCCAACGTCCTCCTCCTGACTAGCGCCTAGTGGAAAGCAGGTTCTCCACCGTGTGGAGAACCACCCCAAGTGGATCATCACAATGGATTTCCCACTTACTGGAGCAACCGTAGCGCAGCACAGTGCACCGTGGACACCAAATCGACCTGCCTGTTCTGGGAATTGGTTCGGATCCACAGTTGGATCATGGAGTCTCGATTGAGTCGATTCATCCATCTGAATCATGACCATGAGTGTGTCCTGTAACCTATTTATGTGTCATTCGAGATTTATCAATTGACCTGACTCGTTGGATGGATCTATTTCTTTTTTTGGCTGGTAGGCGGGAAATCTACTAGTTAGACTCCCAGTCTGATCATGGTGGAGATCAAGGTGGAAGTGAGGTCCAGTCTACTTGAGTACAATATCCGATCTAAAAGAATAATCAGTATCCTCAGTGCCTTACTAGGTAAGTTAGGTACTGCTACTGATATTCTCCTGCAGATCCACCGTTCCTCAAAAAGCAACCACAGAAGCCCGATAGAGAAGACCACCCTGCCCCTTGTTCCCTTTCGCCATTCCTATCTCTCAATGACCAAACAACCAAGACTATATACTACCAAGTACAGTACAATCATGGACCCTTCATCCCCTTGGCTATTATACTCATACACCACAACAACAACAACAACAACAACAACATCATCATCATCATCATCATCATCATCATCATCA